CCCCATATCAAGTAAAACGCCCCGCCTCATGCCCTCGTCTTTTAAAACATTGCTTGTAAGTGGCGTATAATCGATTGTTTGACTAGTTTTTTGTGGGGATGGAGCATATATATTTCACATATTTATAGTTTTCTTCGATTTTTATATAATTTTACCTGTTTATAAATATTTACTGTCATTATATTATTTTATAAAATATTAAAAATTAAATACATATGGGACTTACGCCTCACTGAGACATATATAAAATGTCTAGCCTTACGCCCACGCCTTAATACTGATTCAGCCCACTATGGCGTTGCCGTTATATGATTAGAGTCATTGGACCATCAAAATTGTCGTAAACAGTGTGTTTTCTCTACTTTCTGAATGTTGCTTATTCAAAGAACACATAGAATAAGTAAAAGTTGATTAGGAATTTCAAATCTACTAACTGACCCACAAAAGTTCGCCATAGGGTCCATTCCTAATACTTTTTGCACAATGCGCTCTATAACTGGTAGACCAATAATGAATTTGAACACACACTTTTCCCTGCAATTCACGCAACTATTTCATTTTTTATTCAGAACTACGATCAAATTCTACCATTATCATTTTCATGTTTTGATGATGTTAAGTACACAGATTTAGAGAAGAAATAACAAAATCTAAGATGGGGTTCATCACGAGAGAAGCTTCGAGAGAAGCAGATATTTTCTATTAAGTAAAAAATGAAAATCTATCTTTACAAGAATGAGAACGTCACTTATAAATAGTGGGCTTTGACCCAATGACCCAATTACAAAGCAATATAATATGGGTCAATTCTAATTACAATAATGCCCCAAAGATAGCATCAGCCTTTATCTAATACTCTAACAGCCCCCCTCAAGTTGGAGGGTAATAAAACCCCCAACTTGCGAAGATGAAAATGATGAGCACGTCCAGCAAGGGCCTTGGTAAGAATATCAGCAACTTGAGCATCACTGGACACATGACCCAAGCTAATCAGCCCATCACCAATCTTACCTCTGACGAAATGACAGTCCAGCTCTATATGTTTGGTCCGCTCATGAAAAACTGGATTGCGGGCAATGTGCAAAGCTTCATGTTTGTCACAATACAAAGGAATGGGAGAAGAAGAAGGAAGACCAAAATCAGACAACAATCTTGAAAGCCAAGTAACCTCAGCTGCAGCTTTACTCATGGCCATGTACTCAGCTTCAGCAGAAGAAAGAGAGACTACAGGCTGCTTCTTGGATTTCCAGCTCACCAAACAATCACCAAGAAAAATACAAAAATCAGTTACAGATCTTCTACTATCAGCACAAGAAGCCCAATCACTATCACAATATACTTTTAAAGAAAGGTTATGAGAGTTACTGAAGAATAGCCCAAAGCCAAAAGTCCCTTTCAAATACATCAAGAGATGTAAAGCAGCTTGCATATGAGGAACACAATGAGTTTGCAAGAACTGACTAAGATGTTGAACTATAAAACTGATATCAGGCCTTGTGTGTGTTAAGAAATTCAACATGCCCACCAAGCTTCTATACTCTTCAGGCTAGGGCAAAGGATCACCAACGAAAGCCTTAATTTCTCATTGAGAGCAAGAGGACAAACAACAACAGAAGAATCAAATGACTCTAATAAGTCATGAATAAACTTCTTTTGATGAAGAAGAACCCCAAAATCACAATAGAGAACCTCAATTCCCAAAAAATAATTAAGAGAACCAAGGTCCTTAATCCTGAATTATTCATGTAGAAATCCCTTTAAGAAGGAAATCTCAGACAAGTCAGTCCCAGTAAGAATGATATCATCCTCATACACGGCTAAAATGTCCAAGGAAGAGCAAGAACCCCTAGTAAATAGGGAGTAGTCATTTAAAGAATGAGAATATCCTCTAGAACAAAGAGCGTGAGACAATTTAGCATACCATTGTCTGGAAGCCTGTCTCAAATCAAAGAGCGAATTGAGTAGCTTGCAAACCAAAGGAGGAGAAGAAGAAGAGGAAGGAGGAACTAAAAAACCAGGAGGCACCTTCATGAAAACCTCCTCATCAAAATCCCTATGTAAAAATACATTATTAACATCAAGTTGAAATAAAGGCCAGTGTTATTTTATAGCCACAATAATCAAAGACTTCACAGTAGACATTTTAACAACATGAGAAAAAGTTTCATGAAAGTAAACCCATTCAACCTGAGTATCACCCCTAACTACTAACCTGGCCTTATACCTCTC